TTTAAACAGAATAAAATGAAGGAACTACGGTCTGCTGCATTGATGAGGCAAGAGAAAAGAAACAAATATGAACTAGGGCTGGAGCTGTTCAAGGTCCAAGTCAAAAGCTAAAACTCTCTCCGTATTTCACTCCCAATGAGAGACGAAAGCTCTCACGAAGTAGTTCGAGTGGTAGTAAATGTCAGCACAGACCACTTGCTGGCAAGGCTGTCGATGACTCCATCTTCCGAGCGATGCTTACAAGCAACCGATGCCGAATTTCACTCCCGGGCATACGATGGTACCAATTTTTTGTCTAAACGAATCGTAGAGGGACTGGATATCTCACCGCCAGAGTTGAACCTTCTACCTACTACGACACAACAGTATTACTCCACTGCGCCATGCCAGCCAGCGCTGTTCAAGGTACTAAACTGCCTGCCGGCGCTTGCTTATGGTATTAAACAATTTTTGAGCTGCGCACAAGTTGTCTCAACGCATCAACCACCCGGGATAGAGGCCAAGACAAGCAATGTCACGACAACGAGCCTTGCAAATTGGTTTAAACGGATGTGTGCTAGCTCCAGCAAACCTGCCTCACAAAGGCATGCTGAAGCGAGGGGTGGGCCCATCACAGCACAACACAACACCAACCTGTCGAATTACGTACGCGCAGAAGTCGGCTTTCAGTTGCAAGTCGTATTTGCGGCCTGTGCTCGACACTTTATGCCGCTGCTCCTCCTGCTCCTCTTGCTGTTCGGCGGTACTCGGTGAGGCTGCTGCTGCTACGGTACGATTGGAAGTAGCGAAACAGCCAGCAAGAGTACCACTGGACGCCAATAAACTGTCAAGCAGCACGCGGAATACGTGCCGATCAACAATATCAGACGCAAGTTCACTAGCACTGCTTGGTACCGCGAATATTCGATCCAAAAATTCCTAAAAAAGCGCCATTTCTTCACTGAGAAAGTCGTTCGCTGTGGTCGACGTGTAGCCTTACTGCAGTACGACCACGTAATATAAGCAGCTATAGAAGAGCTTTTTGCCGTCCTGCACTCCGTACTATTGTAAGACGCTGCGATGGATGCGCAATCTTCATGATGTTGTGTGGCCACCAGAACAAGATGAAGCCCAATGGGGTAAGTAGAGTACCAGACACCTTGAAACTGCTGGAAATCAACTGACAATGCAGCGTTTTACACTGTCACATTCGTTAAAATGAGAACTATATCACAAGCAAAGCGTAAAAGACTTATCTATTTGCCAGCGATTTTTAATTCCGCTTGTAAAACACATTCCAAAACAGATTTTAAAAAAGTCTGAGAAACAGAGCATCCAAGTGCTTCACTCCAGTCCGCTTAGTGTACAGATTAGGATGGGCAACGTGAGAGCCGAGCCGAACGGTCACGCACAGTACCAGGCTTCCCGTGCCGCGTCACTTAATTCAGATTGTGCGTTCTGCACATAGCTACATGGTCCTCCCTGTAGTATCAGCGCTAGTAGTGTGATGGGAAATGCTTGAGGTTCTTGAATTCGAGTCGTAGGCCGGTCCAGTTATAAGCGGCTGCTTGATGTTGGACGCGGCTGCTTGATGTTGGACGCGGCTACCAGTCGGTAGACGATTGTTATTTTGATTATTGGTTGACTAGACTCTGCAGTAGAGAAGCTGCGTCGAGACGAGTGTTTGTGATGAACGGGGTCAGGACGACAAAATAGCACAAGTAATCGTAACAACAATGATCTCCGCTGGGGGGAACTACGTTTATGTTGTCCATAGTCAGGCAAGTGGGTAGCGCTGGCCGACCACAATGACCCAGCGCTACCCGCTTTCGTGATAACTAGGGCCGAAGTGGTCCGACCTGTCTACGCCTAACCAAAAAAAAAAAAAACGTGGCGCAGTGTCTTCTCGAGATGCCCGTAGCTGCTAGCGATTGTGGTCGGCTGTGCTTCGTTCGACACTGCCCAGTCCGCTGCCACTATTCGATATGATGGATCAAAATTTGGTGGGAAGTGGACCTGCTGAGCTGAAAAAATAGAATACCTGGTCGAAAGACGAGTTTACAGAATCGGTGCAGTGAAATTCCTCAGCCGCAACAGTCAATGTTCGATCAATTGAGGCGAGCGCTATCGAAGTTGCCGTCACACTTATAGACATCAGTAGTCGGGACACTGCAAAGCAACCCTGATCTACACAATCTGCGATACAGTGACCTGCATAGCTTACACACTCCCCGTCTAACATCGAATCCC